AAAATGGCGACTTAAAACCTTTTTTCCACAAAAAAACCTTTTATTTAATTAAACTAATTTTGAATATTAAATTTTCTTTTATTCAATGAATATCTTTAATTTCGGTAGTAGTTTTTCATTCTTAATATATGTATTTATTTGTAGTGCTAAAATATTATCAGTTGTAACTCATGTTTGTACTGCCATTTCATACCATTTTTATTTGTATTACTGTACCATCACTATTTATATTGCTATTTTTCTTATGACTTTTAAATTTTGTATTACAATACAATATTTTCAAAGTCACCGATCGAAGCTATAGTGTTCATCATGATTGGGAGAATTCCTTGTATGCACAATGAGGCACATGAGAAACTTTGAATTATTTGTGACACGTAAGTTAATTAAATTTATAAGTGACTCATTATCAAAATTAAACAACACTATTTTTGCTTTTGATTTGCACGACTTTTGATTTCACTAAACAAAGACCGAGGGTAAGAAAAATAAAACAAAGACCCACTCGTTTTAAATTATAAAAGTCTGCTACTAGTAATAGTTTAACAATTATTAAATAGGCTAAATAACAAAGAAAGACCCAATTGTAATAGATTATCAAGATAACATTTTAGCACTATATTTTTATACGAAATATATAAACTAACCCTTGTCTCTATTCAAGACGTTAGTTATGAAAATTTAGTTTTTTTTTTTTTTTTTTTTTTTTAAATTTTAAGATGACCTTGCTAGAATATTTCATATAACAACGTACATATTTACACTATCGATTAGCATTTAACTAAATGATTTTTATATACACAAATTTTCAATCAGATATCCAACTTGCTAGTTTGTGATGATATTTTCGTTATGTTACAATTTGAATTCGAATTTCTATAAGATATATTAATTGTTTTACAGAAAATAAGAAAGTATATACACACATCTTACAGGAGAGCCATTGTCTTAGACCATTTAATAATGAAACTATGCAATCAAAAAATAAAATGGAACGGTTGTCATTTAAAATTTTTTTATAGGGAAGACTTTTGAATGCAAGCAAAAATAACTGGTGAGTTCTGAATAACATGAATTCAGTGCATCACCATTGCTCATTTATGACAGATATGTCTACAATTAGTGAGATAAATAATTAAATGGATGGTAGTCTAGTTGTAGTGTCCGGGTTTAATTTTTTCTAGGATGAAAATGTATTTCTTAAATAAATATAGACTAAATGCTGATTCTGGAATCCAGATTCCGAAAGAGATTATTATGGACCAAAAATCCGGAATTTCCGGAATTTAACAAAAAAAAAAATATAAGTAAATAAAGATATAATCATGTCTTACTTCCAGCGTACTATTTATTGTATTGTAGTATAGTTTGACAATTATAATAAAATTATACTCCGTCCGTTTTAAATTAGTTGTCATTTTAAAAGTTAAATTTTGTTTTAAATTAGTTTATTAATTGATGAAATCACATAAAACAATATATTAATTAAGGGTAAAATAGAAAAATTGAATGTTTTTTTAATAAGCGCAAAAAAAAACTTAAACGACAACTAATTTAAAACGGAGAGAGTAATATTTTATTAACTTATGGAGATATTACACTGTTCACATTATAGACTAATTCTTATTTTAGTTTTTAAAGTACAATTGGCACATAATTCAAAACTAATAACATGATTTCTGTTGACAAAAAAAAAAAGTAACATGATTTCTAGCTGTTTAATTTGCAAGAGATTCATTTGACTGAGTTAATAAAAGACCAAATCGGTTAACATCATTAAAGTCATTTGCTAGCTGTATTGTCTTGTTTTATGTGTCATTAATTAAGATGCTACTTGATAGTTTTCCCTGGATCGGATACGTGCACAGCACCAACGTGCAACACCATCTCCATGTGTTGTTGTTATTTTTGGAAAATTTCAACTTCTTAATGTGTATAATTAAGTTGCGCCATATATTTCGATGATTTTGGGCCACCACTTTGGGCCATACATATTTGAATTCGGGCCATAACTTCGGCCAGACATCTCTATTTTGAATAACAATATATATTTTAATTAATAACTTTTACTATCAAGAATGATAATAATTTGAAGTTCGATCTTATTATTTCTTCTATTAGAAAATTTAATTCTTTTATTAGCACTAATCCAAAATATAATTTGAAATGAAACGAAAACAATGACAAATAAAAGAAAATGTTATTTGATTGTAAAATAAACTTATCTTTTTTATTGGTTGTACCTTTTAAAAAATAAATTCGTTAATATTTTCATGATTCTTTTTTAGCCGAGCTATTGATTTCTTGTGATATGTATGTTACTGTAAAAACTCTTTAAATACATACAATACAGTATAACCTCTATAAATTAATACTTCATAAATTAATAAATACGATAAAATAAAAAATTATGCCGGTCCCGAGTCGGGTCAGTGTAAAAATTAACAAAATTCGATAAAATAATAAGATAACAATTTTTTTTAAAAAATTCTATATAAAATTATGTTTCAATAATGGGAAATTGTTAAAAATACCCCTTTTGGTGTGCCCCTTTTCAAAAATGCCCCTTTTAGATGTCCATTTTAAAAAATGCCTCTTTTTAAATCTGAAACTTTTATAAAATTTTATTAGGTTTATAAGGTACTTATGGATTGTAACTACTACTTGATCCAAGTATTTATAAGGTTTTATAAGGTGTTTTTAAAGGTTTTACAAGTTATTTTAAAGGATTTTTAAGGTTTTTCAAAGGTTTTACAAGATATTTTAAAGGTTTTTAAAGGTATTTAAAATGCATTTATAAGGTATTTATAAAGTATTTATAATATTTTAGAAACATAGAAATGTAGTTTGTGTATGTTTTAATAATATTACATACATATTTGGGTAAGTCTTATATTTTTAAGAGCATTTTTTATAAGGTTTTTTTAAAAAGGTATTTTTGAAAAGTGGCATTTTTGCAAAAGCCCCTTCAATAATATCATAAATTAATAATCACATAATTATATATATAATATAATCTATGGTTTTAATGTTTTTAAGTATTGAATTTTCGTTAGAGTTTGTCTCAAACTTTTACTGTATCAAATAATTGTTTTGTCTCTATCTAGGATATTACCCGCGGTACACCGCGGGTTAATTATTTGATTTTTTTATTTTTTATAAACTGATAAATTTGTTGTGTATAATATTTTTTGTTGTACACCGCGGATCACATGCGTTTTATCAAAAAATTAAAATTTAAGTTTTTTTTTGTTTTGTTTAGTGTTTTAAGATTGTATAATTGTCATTTGATTTGTTAATTCTAAGATTTCACCCGTGGTATATTGTCCCGTATTAATATCGACCCAAACCCGTCCCACCATATAATCCCGTCCTGTGAAATTAAACATTATTTTGTTACTTTTTGTTCTAATATTTTTATTTAAAAAACATATAGTTCGAGTCAATTTAAAAGTTTTCAAATGGTTTTTATAATATATAATTTTTTAATTAGTATATTTTTGGACCAACCCGTAAAAACAATTTATAAGTGTATCTTAAAATACTAAATAATTGTATTTTGATTAGTTAATTTTAGGATTTCACCTATGGTATACTGTCCCGTTTTAGATAATTGTAGAAATTAAGGAAAGATCCGAATAACTCAATTTTGGGTCAGAATATTTAAAAAAACAACCTAATTAAACGCGCAATTTGTTCTTCAAAAATATTAATATAGATTACACATATTTTTTTTTCTCATCGATTGATTAATATATGTCCGTTATAAAAATTTGAATAATAACATATGCAGAAAAAAACTAAAACTTAATAACCATATATATTTTATAATAATTCAAAATAATATAAATATAAGATCAAATAAAAGTAAAATGAGAATTATATTTATGTTTAAATTAGGTAGAAAAGTTTTAGGAAATTAGCTCAAATTTATTATATTAGCATTAAATCATCATATTTGATATCCTTATCTATAAAAATCGTAAAGAATATATCATAAATAAAGAATTTAGTTATAGTAATTAGTTGTAAAAATATATATATTTTAAATTTTATTAACGAATTTTGTTTTGAACATTTGCCACAATTTAAGTAAAGATCCGATTGAAGATTCCGGGTCAAAATCAGAAAAAAAGCCGACCCGATTGGAGGAGAGCAAATATGTACTTCAAAAATGTTAAGTAGATATTATAGTATCATTTAAAACTTCGTAATTATGCATCATTTTCATTTCAAATTATTTGTAAGTTCCAACTTTTTAGCATGCATTATTTTCATTTCAATAGTCTACTACTCTGTTTAAATACGATGGTTAAGGTTATTAATCAAAAACTTAAGTTATGTATACAGTTTGTATAAATGAGGTCAATTACTCTTTGTATTCATTGTCAAATGAGTTTTTTTTGAAGTATTAAATTTTCAATTCTAATACTATAAAAATTATAATATACAAATCATTAATATTATGTACATTGAATTGTGTCAGTTCATATTATTCTGAAATTTGAACAATTATCTCTATAAATATTAATTTGTAGATTAATTCATGTCAATATAAATTAATAAAATATCATAATCCTGACATTATTAATTTATAGAGATTTTACTATAGTTAGATTATTGGTTAAATTCAATTTCATAGGTATGACAATATTTTTTACAAATCGAAAACAAACTTAAGAAAAGAGAATGTTTTAACCAGAAAATCCTATAATTTAATTTTAGAGCCTGGCTTGGGACCTGGGAGTAGTAAGGCCACACGCAGTGGTATATTTTTTTACCTGGGTGTAAGCATTATTAAAAAGGGAAATAATGATAAAGTTGGTTTTGAGGCAACACTCGGATGTAGAATTACACTTGGGTGTGGGAGGGACGTGGCAATCTCTGGTTGGTGGTTTTTTTTGTTATTGGAAAATTTATTTTATTTGTGGGAGAAAATATTTTGGGGATCTAGTGTTTGGCTTCTCAGTTTCTCTCTCGACACCGAACCTTCAACCGAGAGAGAGACCGCCGTTTTCTCTCCGATTTGAAGCCGATTCCGACCAAACTACCCGAAAATTGATCTCTATTCGACGATTCAAGCATTCTATGCTTTCAATTACTAAGAATCTGTTCCAAAAAACCCCAAATCCTTTCGTCTCCTCTGGGTCTCATCGCGTCCTCTGTCTCCGGCGATACACAGTAGGTAAATCGTCATCAACTTTGTGTTATAAGTAGCATTTGGTTGTTGAATCCGAAGAGTTGTTGCTTTTGTTATGATTAGTGAGGTAGTGATGAAGAAATATAGGTGACGAAATGATTTTCTTATGAGAATTTCGGGTTTGAGATGTAATGTAAACTGATATATTTCATGGTATCTGTTTTAGGGTAGATTAAAGTTATATTTTGTAGATTATGTGAATAGAGTATGTCGGATTTGCAAAATTTTTGGTTCATCAAGTTTTGATTCAGTTATATTTGTCTGTTGATGAACCTTAACTTTGATTTTGCTTTCTTTCTGAGGTTGCTAGGTGAGTTAAGCAGGGAAACTTCAATCCGGAAAGCAACAACTACTACCACGACTAACTGAAAACAAAAAAGGTATGTCTCAGACTCCATTTAGTTAATGCAATAGACAACTAGTAGTTGGAGCAGCTCGTGTGAATGTTTGCAGTGGTTCTTTGTGTGTTGTATAGTACTGTCTTCATAGTTTTGATATGATTTGAGTGTTTCAGTTGTAAGGGTTAGTGTATCACTGTGTGGTTTCTGTGATTTGAGTTGTAATGGTCTTGTTTCAGTTTCTGTCATAACTGAAAAGTTAACCATTTATACTTTTAATTGAATGAATCTGGTTTGTGGTACTTGGTACTCCATAATATGATTGTCGAAAATGAACGACATTCATACACTCTCGAAGAAGAATTAGACCAAGGAGAAGAAACGGAAACCATCCCCGTTTTTAAAGGTTCAGTCAATATGCCTACCAATCTCGACGGTTTTGGTGATGGTCACACAAGAATTCGTGATCGACAAGCACATCACCAATTAAAAGAGGATTTGATTGAGCATTTATGGGCTAAATTTGGACATCTTCCAAATGATGATTAAAATTTTTAAATTTTGTATTAATTAAATAAAATGTTTGTGTGTTTTAAGTAATAAATATGTTTGTTTGTTTTTATGTTTAAAATTTAAATGTTATTTTTAATTTAAAAAAAATGTTTTATGAATTACTTAATTATATTATTAAACTATTACTAAGAAACAGGTTCTACCAATAATCAACTCCTAAAACTCCTAACACCAAGTTTCTAAACTTCAACTCTTACATTATTTTATTAATAAAATCCCACTAACACACACCCACCCACTTTTACCATATTGGATGCGTAAAGTGATTAGTATTTATTTTCCCTTAAGAAAAAAATGACATTAAAAGAGAGAAAAAGAGAGACAATGGAGAGAAAGTAAAGGGAGAGATAGTGAGAGAGACAAAGCAGAGGTTGACTTTCCTTTGCGGAGAAGGCAAAGAGCTCGAGAGATAACTCCCATCAGCGACGAAGATGGCGGAGACGGTGGAGATTAAACCAGGTTCCTATTCTCTCTCTCTCTCTCTCTTTCTTTGTTTTTCTCTTTCGATCTATGAATATACTGCAATTTGTTATGATATCATGATAACTGGTTGGATTGTGTCTTCTTTGCCTTTTTTTTTTTTCTTTTTCTTTTGTTGGTCACTCAAAACTAATCATCAGGTTGTCTAGAGAGATGATTGTATAGAACAAGATTTTTTTTTTTTAAGAACAAGAAATTAATTTGTCTTGACTTTTTTTTTTTTTTTTTTACTTTGAAAAAGAATTTTATATTTATAGTGAACGAATAACGAAAAATGGGAATTTCTCAGGCTGATGCTATGTAAAACCAATTTGGTTGACTTTTTTTTGTTTGGTTGGGTTCATCAAGTTCCAGCAATGGGTTCTCGAAGTTTGCCTGAAGAAAAGAAGGATGTGGTGTTGTGTAAGAAGATAGTGGAAACTCTGGGAGGAGATGGTGCTCAAAGAGTATTGCTGTTAGGCGAATCTGGAATCGGGAAGACAAGGATGGCACAGATGGTAGACAAAGAAGCTGCTAAGGACGACTTGTGCTACCAGACTCTCTGGTTACATCTCAACAGGAAGTTTAAAGTCAACGACAAGTATATCAAGGAGAAGAAGTTTGAAGATGAATGGTCTCTTTATGAGAACATAGCTTCACAACTATCTTTATATTCTGATTTTGAAGAGACTGAAGTCGGTGAAAGAGATGAAGATGAGGAGGAAGAGAAGAAGGTTGAAGATTTGCTTAAGGATTTGAAGCCTAAGATTGAGAAATATCTCTTGGAAAAGAAGAAAGCCGTTGAGGAAAAATTGGAGAAGGAAGCCGCAGATAAACTGGAGGCTGAGAAAAAACTGGTGGATCCGCATGCGAAGAAAGCTAAAGATCCTGAGAAGAAGAATCCAACGGATGCCGGGAAGGAGAAAACGACTCAAGTAGTATCCGGAGGAGATTCATCATCTGAAAGAAAGCCGTATCTTCTTTTAATTCTTGACGATGAAGGAATGACCAGTGAGTACGAGGTGATGGTGCATTTAGGCCTTGAGGATTTTCTGAAAGACCACACACCTCGAAAAATCCTTATTACAAGAAGACAGGAAAATGAGGAGGATACAAAATCTGGTGAGAAGATTGAGGGGGAAGATGATTCGCATTCCGCGGAAAAGAAAGATGAAACCGATGGTGAAGACGAAAATAAATCACGTGACACCGACACAATCAATGAGGAGGTACCTGAGTCTCATGCCCAGATCAAGGCAGAGGAGAAACCGGCTCCTACCATAGATGACTTATGGGGTGGCACAAACACTTATGGGGAAATTACGTTCAATAACACAAATGAGTCGCAAGCTTTACTTGAATCCTTCAAAGACATGGAGGCAGAGGCTTTATTTTCGTCCATTTTCAAAATCAGCGATATGCCATTATTTTTCCTTGGAAACTTTCATGAGACTGATGAGAAACTGATACCCCACATGCTGAAAAAGAGCAAGAATTTGCCGGCTGCAATCGTCGTGCTCGCCAAGTCCCTATATTACACTGTTACGAGCGAGTCCTATAAGCTTAATAAGGATGAAGAAGACAAGTTACTAAAAGAAAAGATAGAAATGGTTCTCTCGGCTGAGCGGAATGTTCCATCCGATTCAGAATCTAGTTCTGAGAACCCTAAGAAAGCAAGTGGAGAAAATCCAATCCTGCTTCTTGCATACAAGCTGTTCAAAACCGACGGTCCATTGAAGGATACCATATTGGATTGTTTTTGGCATAGCTTGGACTTCTTTGAGCATTGTGGCTGTGTTTACTACCGTGACCTGATCACCCAATGGATTCTTGAAGGCTACTTTGATCCTGTTAGGTCTGTCGAAAAGGCGTACCAGGATGGTCATTCTATCTTCATGGAGCTTATAGACCGCGGAATGCTGAAGATACAAGAAAACAATGTGGTGGTACCAGAGATGGCGATGAGAAATGTAATTGATCCTCGACGTGGTGGGCATTTAGGGAAATCTCGGCTTGGATTTTCTAGAGTCTATGGTGGTAACAAGAAAAAAGGTATAGGGAAAATCACCCAACTTGATGATATGATTAAAACAGTGCAAGCAAAGAAAGGAGACAAGATTACCACGATTCTGGTTAGTGGAGATCGTCTGCGTCGTGAAACTCCTGCAAAGTTCTTTAAGAATCTGAAAGAGCTTGAAGTACTTGGTCTTTTTGAACCCACACTGGAATTTGAACGCATAGAGAAACCTGTTGACCCGTCTTTTACAGATCAGCTCAAACCTTCTGTTGTCCCGCCTTTTACAGATCATCTCATACTCCTCCGGGTTCTTGTGATCAGGGACTGTGACCTACTGAAAGGTATAGAGGAGCTTAAAGCTCTTACAAAGCTAAATGCTCTTGAAGTTTCTGGTGCTAGCTCCCTGAAGAAAATCTCTGACGACTTCTTTAAGTCATTTCTTGAACTCCGAAGTCTTCACCTCTCTGGGCTTAAGATCACATCTTCCCCTTCCAGTATTTCTGACCTGAAGGAACTTCACTGTCTCATCATCAAGGACTGCCCTTTATTGGAAGATCTGCCAAACATACAGGAACTACTGAATCTCGAGGTTGTTGATATTTCTGGTGCTCGTGGGCTTCAAACTTGTTTCGACAACGCAAAAGGTGACAAGAAAAACAAAAGCAAAAACAAAAACTTTTATCTTCTTACAAAACTTCAGCTTCTTGACTTCTCGGGGAGCCAAATAGAGCGACTACCAATATTCCAGGACTCTGCGGTGGCCGCCAAGCTTCACTCCCTGACTCGGCTCTTGTTGCGCAACTGTAGCAAATTGAGAAGGTTGCCTAGTTTGAAGCCCTTGTCAGGACTCCAAATTCTTGATCTTTCTGGCACTACGAGCTTAGTGGAAATGCTTGAAGTGTGCTTCGAGGATAAGCATGAACTCAAAACTCTTGATCTCTCGGGAACTAATCTTAGCGAGTTGGCTACCACCATCGAGGAGCTGTCCAGTCTCAACGAACTTCTCCTACGTGATTGCATCAACCTAGATGCTATCCCAAACATCCAGAAACTCACAAATCTCGAAGTCATTGATGTTTCCGGCAGTGCCAAGCTGGCGAAGATTGAGGGATCATTTGAGGAAATGTATTACCTACGTGAAGTGAATCTCTTTGGAACCAAAGTGGAGACACCAGAGTTGCCAAATGAGACCAAAATCCATTGTCTGAAGCGTTTTACCCGGGCTGATGGAAAGTGTTTTAAAGGTGACACATGGAGCAAAATAAAGGAAGACATTGAACGTGATAGGTCTGAGAATGCCAGCTCCTCTGATGCAGTTGTTGAATCCCAAGAGATTCTAGAAGAAACAAGAGAGATTCAATCAGATGAACCTCGCGCCAGTGATCGTACTGAGAAGGGAGATGTCAGCAAGGAACGTCTTCTCAAAGTCCCCAAGAGTGCTCTATATAAGCAGACACTATCACTTGTTGATTCCGAAATTCCTCCACAAGTCTTGGAGATCAATGAAACTAATGAGCTAGATAAGGACGCACTAGCTAATGCTGAGTTTGTGTCTTTTGTGGACTGTACTCCTGAAAGGCTCACATCTATCTTTAACGAGACCAAATCAGTGAAGGGTTGCTGGCTAAGGATGTGCTTTGACATAAAAGATCTTTTCGCTGGTGTGGATGAGGAACACTTGAAGTCACTGGAGACTTTGTCGATTACAAACCTTCTTTCATTGGAGACTATAAGCTCTGTTGGTAAGTTGGAGAATCTGAAGAACCTAAGCTTAGATTGCTGCCCGAAAATCAAAACGATTTTCCCGGAGATGCCTGCCAGCCTACCAGTCCTGAATTTAAAGCATTGTGAGAATCTGGAGAAAGTTGTTGTAGGAGTTGAAGTGTCAACTCACACTAATCTGAATTTGGAAGTGGAGAACTGCCCAAAGTTCAACAAAATCCTTCCATCATCGGAGACTACAAGCTCGGTAAGTTGAAACTTTCTACTCTTTCACCTCTCCAGTGAAAATTTAGGACCATTAATGCCTCTCTTTAACATTCTAGCACACTTCAGAATTCATCAGAAGAAGAACACTTCCAAATCCAAATTGTTAAAAATTTAGTTGCATCATATTTTTCTGTTTTGCAGGTCGGAGGTCTTTGAGTCGTCTTGCAACAAATCTTGTCTCTTTTCAGCTTCATCTTAGCATTTTACACTGCGTGTATTTGCAGGAATACGTTATGGTTGACCGCAGTGATGTACCACCACCACAAGAATGCTGATCATAAACGTAGCTGGAGCAAGATCTACTTACACAGTACTAAACATCTGGATCGTTGCCTCTAATCATTCTCATACTTTTTTCCTGCGTGTGGCTGAAAGCTTTGTGTGTTGAATAACAACCGGATTTGAAACTTCATCTTACCGGTTTTGTTTTTTACTGTTTCATGTTTTTTTCGTTTTAAGATATTTTCTGTTGTAAAATCCCAGGCATGGTGTTCTGTTCTTGCCCGGGTGAATAAGACCATTGTTTTGATTGTTTTTCTATTTGAACGATCTTTTGATTCTAAGGCAAGAAGACAGTTTACGGCTCTAAAAGATTTAATTACATACGCAGGAATGTGTATTTATTCAGGGTGTAGAGGCAAATACATGATCTCTAAACAAGTAACAGAGGCTCTTGCCGTTATTATGAGTTATGACAGAAGAAACTATGCAGCTTATCTTCACATATTTGGTGATGTCTCTGGCTATGACCTCCAGACTCCATTACCATCTGTTGGACAGAATGCGATTTTAGGGCATTTATATTTCTCCAACAGTGTCATTTTTGGAAATAGATCTTTCAAATCTCTCCACTCAACCTTGAATTCATGCAGATACTTCAAACGCAAGATCTCGACGGCCCATTTGTCTTCTGCGTTTTGACTTTCGTCACTCATTCCACTAAGTTTTCCTCCTTTGATGGAGAGTTTTTTAAGCTCTTTAAGATCTTTGGGATTTAACCAACTCGGAGGTTCTGTTTCAGGGAAACATTCTAGCTCCAACTTCTTCAAACTACCAGGGAATTTATATATTGCTTGATCTTCTTGCCATCCTATTCCCCATTTCTTGGTTTGGTTGCCCATTCCCATTAACAGTTTTGCTTTCCTTGATATTGATTTCCAACATGGTGATGGTGTTTCATGAATCTCTTCCGCCGTTGTGTTGTCACTTTTCGGATCATCTGGCTTCTTCGGAGCTTTGGATTTTTCAGAAAAATTCACGTTCTTACCAAACTTAGTGGTTTTGTGTGACTTCTGAGTCTTTGCTTCTTTCCCATCAAGCTTCTTTAAATCATCTCCGTTCTTTTCTCCATCTCCTATTTCCTGCACTTTGCTAATTTCTCTGTGATCATCTGGCTTGCTCTGTACTGTGTCGTTCGATTCTTGTGGTGGATTTTTCTTCTCATCTCCCTCGATAACATTGTCTGGTTTTGAGCTCTCTTCTATTACCTCATTTTTCTTCTTTCCTTCATCTAGATCAGCCGCCTTCCCTTTGTCTCCATCTCCTTTTTCCTGCACTTTGCTATTTTCTTTGTGATCATCTTTCTTTCTCTCCATTGTGTCCTTAGATTCTTGTGGTGGACTTGTCTTCGCATCTCCCTCTGTAACCTTGTCTTGTTTTGAGCTCTCTGCTTTTATCTCGTCGTGCTTCTTCCCTTCATCTAGATTAACCTTCTCCTTTTCTCCATCTCCTTTCTCTTCTTGTTTGTCACCTCTTTGGTGATCATCGGGCTTGTTCTGGATCGCGTTTGTTGATTCCCGGGAAGGACTAGCCTTATTGACTCCTTCAACACCATTCTCTGATTTTGAGATCCCTGCTTCTACCTCACCATGCTTCTTTTCTTCCTTTTCCATTTTGGTTTGATCATCTGTCCTGTTTTGGATCATGTCTTTGGATTCTTGTGGTGGACTTGCCTTCTCATCTCGCTCAACAACTTTGTCTGATTCTGATTTTTGTGCTTTAACCTCATCATGCTTCTCTCCTTCCTTTTCCACTTCGGTTTGATCATTTGTCTTGTTCTGGATCATGTCTTTGGATTCTTGTGGTGGACTTGCCTTCTCATCTCCTTCAACAACTTCGTCTGATTCCGGTTTTTTTGCTTTAACCTCATCATGCTTCTCGCCTTCCTTTTTCACTTCGGTTTGATCATTTGTCTTGTTCTGGATCATGTCTTTGGATTCTTGTGGTGGACTTGCCTTCTCATCTCCTTCAACAACTTCGTGTGATTCCGGTTTTTTTGCTTTAACCTCATCATGCTTCTCGCCTTCCTTTTCCACTTCGGTTTGATCATTTGTCTTGTTCTGGATCATGTCTTTGGATTCTTGTGGTGGACTTGCCTTCTCATCTCCTTCAACAACTTCGTCTGATTCCGGTTTTTTTGCTTTAACCTCATCATGCTTCTCGCCTTCCTTTTCCACTTCGGTTTGATCATTTGTCTTGTTCTGGATCATGTCTTTGGATTCTTGTGGTGGACTTGCCTTCTCATCTCCTTCAACAACTTCGTCTGATTCCGGTTTTTTTGCTTTAACCTCATCATGCTTCTCGCCTTCCTTTTCCAATTTGGTTTGATCATCTGTCCTGTTCTGGATCATGTCTTTGGATTCTTGTGGTGGACTTGCCTTCTCATCTCCCTCAACAACTTTGTCTGATTCTGATTTTTGTGCTTCTACCTCATCTCTTTTCTTTCCTTCATCTAAATCATCATTCTCTTTGTCTCCATCTCCTTTGTTTTCTACTTTGCTTTTATCATCTGGCTTCTTTTGGATCATGTCTGATGAATCTCGGGGAGGGCTGGCCTTCTTCTCTGCCTCAACAACTTCATCTGATTTAGATTTCTCTGCTTCTACTTCATCTTGCTTCTTTCCATCTTCTAGATCAGCCTTCCCCTTATCTCCATCTCCTTCCACATTGCTCTTCCCTTTCTGATCGCTTGTCTTGTTTTGAATCTTGTCTGTTGCAGGACCTCCTTGGTTCTCCTTCTCCTCGTTTGTGGTTTCTCTAGACTCACAAGCTCCCCACGCAATTTTCAGACTCACAAGTTTCTGGAGTCCTGTTAACGACTTCATCAGCTTTTCCACCTTGAAAGAGTATTTGTTTACGGTTATGCTTAGCTTCCTCAGATTCTTCAAGTGTTTAACTGCACAATTATCTTCATGATCCGACTCACTAATCACAAATCCCTTCAGAACTTGTAATTTGGAGAGTTTTGCAATCCCCTTAGGCATGCTATCTAGCATATAGCACTCTGATACATCCAAGTAAATCAGTTTCTCAAATAAGCCTATATCGCTAGGAAGAACCTCGAGATTGTAGCATGCTTTAAGATCCAAGATCACTAACTCGGGGAGTTTGCAAATTGAATTTTCGAGCCTTTCTATCCTCGAGATCCCTTGAAAACTTGCAAGCCTCAGATTCTTCAGAGACTTCATATTTTTAAGAAACTCTGTGCTCTCAACTTCAATGTGGCGCTTAGCGGTCTGCTCCCATCTTCCCAAATAAAGCACTCTAAGTGAATCCATTAACGGAAACCACTTGAATGTGAAATCAGGGTACCGTTCAGAGGAATTGAAAACCGTCTGCAATGTTTTCGGTTCCATAACAGATGTTTTTCTTAGATCTTTTTCTCGATTGTTCCATAACGAGGAACCTTTTACTAGGCAGACCTTTTTCTTCGATGATTTTTTCATGGTAAGCTTCCCATTATGGTTGTAGAGTTCAAATAGATCCATTTCTTTGGCTAAGTGTATAACTGCAGAATGCACATGAGGCTCCATCTTGTAACTATTTGGTAGCAGTTTCCTCTCATCTTCGACCGGCTCAAGTAACTTTTTTGCTGAGAATGCATCAAGAATTCTCTTTACTGAGTTTTCACTCTTTACTGAGTTTTCACTCTTTACTGAGTTTTCAGAATCATCACAATTGATGAAACCTTCTCCGATCCACCAATACATCAACATTGTCCTTGTAACCTCTCTGTTTTCCGGGAACACGGCGAAGGACAACAAGCAGAGCTTTTGAGTGAAGTCATCAAGGCCTTGAAATTTCTCAACAACTTCTTCAAAAGCTGAGGATTTTTTGAATTCCTCAGCAACGTGGAGGCCCGGCAAGTATATGTCAATCCCGGTCTCACTGATCTCATCATTTTCCTCAGCGGTTTGAGATTCCGTGATGCTTATCTTTCTTGATGGTTGTTTGTTGAGCAATGATGGGATCTGGCACTTCAAGGCGGAGACTTTTCTTCTGATTTCCTTGACAACGTGAGAGCGGGATCCGAATGAATTCTTTCTTTGTAGTATTGCTATTAACTTAGTTGAACGAAGATCACGCTCCAAATTATTGCTCATCTCGGTTTGAAACTGAGTTAAACTCTTAAATGCAGCTATCATCTGACGAATATCATTCTGCAATTTCCGTATCTCGAGTTCTTCATTCTTTTGATCTTCTTCAATGTCTTGCACGCTTCTTCTGCTTCCACCTTGACTACCTCCACTGTCGCTTGCATTGTTGGAAGCGTCCTTCTTCGCCTTACCAATTCTTTTAAAACTTTCTCTGACCCGAACCCAACAAGATCTCTTTTCCTCACTTTGTTCGCCTTGTTGTTCCTTGTGGCTAATAACTTTATTGGATAGAGGTATCTTCTCCAGGTCACAGTCTAACTGAGATAGGATGTTGATAATCTTATCGATATCACATCCTTTCGTCGACATGATCAGAATGGTAAAGAGCGCCTGTAATTGGATGAAGATCTAATGTGTGTTTGATTCAACTGCGTTTGATGCGTAGAGTTCTTCTATTTTAGTACAGAAAAAGAAAACAGAGAGAAAATGGAGTTAGTTTAACAGTTAATTTGTCAGCTATGGGACTATTTGAAGCACCTTATCAAGGTCTCATTCAAGTATATGTCAGAAAATGGCGATAAATTAACTCGATGAACCGAAGCAGAAACGAAGACTTTCCTTTATACTGACAACCATTATGAAAAGACTAGAAAACTGCCTACGGTTACAACTACTTGAAAAGTGAAGAACTAAGTGCAGGTCTCATAATTCAAGTATATATCAGAAAATGGTGAACTATTAACCCGAATGAACCGAAGCGAAACAAAGACTTTTACATGTACTATGGTTTATATAAAGAGACAAGCTTTATGATCCTAAGTTGTGTTCTACATTTTGGGTACTTCATAATTATGCAGACGAAGAAGTGTAATGTCACCAAAAGTCGGTTATATATATATACTAGAAAAAGACCCACGCGATGCGTGAGAATAGTTTGAATATATTTTATCGTAAGAAAAATAAATTAGTTTAACCTAAAACATATTAGAACCTGTATTAATTATAAAGAAAGTATTAACAAAAAATCTTCCATATTATTCACTAAAAGTATTAGCAAAAAAAATCTTCCAATTTATTTATTCTCTACAATGACTTAAAAAGTTGTAATTTACATGTTTAAATGAATCATATGAATTGACAAAACATTATCAATATATTTGAAAGGCTTGTGAATTAACATTTCCAGGGATATTGGAAAAATAATGAGAGGACTTTGTGTAAAAAAAAAAAAAAAAGAGGACGGTGGACAAGAAGTGAAAAAAATTAGAGAGTTGAGATAATATTTTGTTATCTTAAAAAACATGGTAGTTTTCAAAATCATCCTATTTATATCATGGATGTTATGTTAAATTATCATTTATATCTCTTGCATCCATTTTGATAATTTGATTTATTCATTGTTTATGTAAATAGTTAGTTCACATAGCTATTAGTCTTTAAAATTAGAAAGGAAATTATAAGCATCTGTAGTCATAATTTTAAACGGTAGTATTCATAAGTGTTGTAAAATCGATTTTATAAGAGCTTATTCAATATTATCTTTTTTCCCTTATGTTATCTGTTTACTTTAAAATAATACAAATTTAGGTATATTAATTTTAAAATATATAAAATGTCGAAATAGTGATTTAAAATGTAGGCGACTTAAACATCATTAGAGCATCTCCAACTCCACTCTATTTTTTTTCTCTAAACTCTATTATAAAGCACAATTCTCTCCAACCCTACTCTATATTTTCACTCTAAAATAGAGTAAAAGAGAAGATTATTCTATATATAGAGGAACTCTATTTTTTTTTTTACAGTACCTCTATTTTAGAGTAGGGTATAAAGTGATACATTGAAGAGAAATCATGCTCTATTTGAGAGTAAAATATTGAGATTTACATTGGAGATGGTCTTAGGAGGTAATTTATACAATTAATGCTCCATTAATAAAAAATCATTTATTAATAACAGGATGTAAGGATGTTCATTATTTATTTGAAAGTGAAAAGAAAAATAAAATAAGAAAAATATGGCACATATCGATTAAAACAAATATTAGAATATCTTATATATGTTAATTCTCGGTTTTAAAACGACAGTAAAGAGGAAAAAAAAAATATATAAGATGTCATAGTAATTATTGAAAATTGCTAAGTTGATGATTGTTATTTTTTTTTTCAATTTATACCGCATTAATCAGAAAATTAATTTTTCATAATAATTTATTTTAAAGGAAGAAGAAAAATATGGTTCATGTTGGCAAAAAAAAAAGAGCAACTTTTATATATGTGTAAAATAACTTTTAAAACTATTTTTATATGAGATTTGAAATTGTATTTAGTGATTTTGAAAACTTGCCACCTATTTAGAATTGTTAGCTAAACAAAATTCATCACCATATAGAGATATTTTTAACAGTATAGTCTACATACACAAAACATATATATATTAAGAAATATTTTCTTTATTTTCTGATCAAAAATAATAGAATTCAAATATACACATCATATCTTACCATTATAAACGTAATAACATATGACATTATGTACTGAAATATACTTAGAAAAATGACATAAAAACAAAAGAAATTTACATATGAAGGAAAAAAGATTAGAAACCAATAAAATTAAATTTAAATCATCATATTAAAGGAAGAGATAACACTTAAAAAAACAAATCTACGCTCAAAACCTCAGGTATTTTTTTTTTTATGGATGTTAGGTCTCTCATGTTGAGATTTGAGATTGGTATGTCGTATTGTGCTATTCTTATAAATATAAAATAAATTATAGTAAATTAATATTTAAATGTAACCTCTACCATGAGAAAATACATTCATTTTTAAATAATTAAATTATGGAAGTTACAATAATAGTTAATAGTGTGTTTGAATGCCATTGAATAGAGAAAAAAAGTTAATACACAATTTATATGACTTAGGTTACAATTTAGTATTAAAAGGTGGATTAATATATATGATTAAAGAATTAAATGTATTATGTTTGTGGTTTAATAAGATATAGATAAAGTCAATTTTATTAATATATTTATTATCTATTTTATCGCCTAATAATTTGATCTTTATTTTTTACTATAAATTATGTGAAAAAGATAAAATGTAGGAAAATATCTCTTTATTCAAAAATATCCTTAAACTATTTTATCATCAAATAATTTTGATTTTATTTTATAATTTGAATTAAGGACTATTGTGGTTATTGTTCTCAAAAATCAAATAAACAGATTTATTGCACTTAAATTAAAAAATAAACTAAAAATGACATGTGTCAAAAGAGTAGAACGCCAAATGTCACATTTTTAGAGATTGTTTTGAAGAAACTTTGTCATATTATATAAGATACTAGATTTTAACCCGCGGTACACCGCGGGATGATTTAATTTTAAAGTTAGTATAAAAATATTTTGTAAATTGTATCTCCTTATAACATATTTATTTATATTATAGTTTACAATTGTTATTAAGTAACGGTATACCACGAGTCCACGAGATAATTATTAATAAACTGATGATTTAACCCGTATTAAAGCGGTATATAAATATTGATTCAAATTCGTCCGCCATATAAATCATTTCCGAAATATAACCCCATCCGTAATTTCTTAACCCGTCCTGTGATTTGTATTAAAAAAATAAGGATTAAATCCGTATTGAAGCGGCGGATTAATGATATTTTAATCTTTTTATTATTGTTGATTCAAAAACCCGTCCCGCCAAAAAACTCATTTATTTTATTAATGTTCTTATTTATGATATGATTCTGAATCATTGTCTAAATATTTTAATCGATGTAGAACGTTGAACACACATTTTCGTCAATTGGATAATATATGTCCGTTTTTAAAATTTCGAATCACAGTATATGCAGAAAAAAAATTGATTTTTTTTTTTACTTTATGTATTATATGATGATTCAAAACAGTTAAAAACAAATCAGACAAAGATGATAGGAGAATCATAATTATAAATCTTAATCAAATCTTCTAAAAATCTAAATTATTAAATATGGAATATCCGGTGTATGAGTTGGGTTAAATATAACCCGACCCAACAAATTTTTTGTAAAGGAATTTTTAAAATGGGTCGGGTATCCGATATACCCGAAAGCTTTTTTACCCACCCGTCACAAAAAGTGCTGCGATTATACTAGTATAGATATACAAACCAAATAAAAAAAAGATTTTTTTTTTCCGAGAAAAATAAGCACGTACCTTATAAAAGTATTTTTACCAGAAAGATGTCATTTAAGTATTTTATGGAACACCTTGTGAGCGATCTTTTGTTTCTGAATAAAGAACTCAAGAACTCTTCCTTTTTTATAACATTTAGATAACTTCCCATAGAAATCGAACAAGGACAGAGGAAAAGCATCCAAGACACTGTTCTTTGCTTCTTCATTAGGCGAAGAAATGGAATTATAAGAGAAGAAAAGTCTCTGTGGAAAACAGAAGAAGAAGCAAAGTATCGATATCCATGTAAAACACATGACCCTTAAGCTTCCATAGATTCATCGTTACACCAAAACTTAATCCATCTTATCGACTTCTAACCAATTCTCTAAAAAACCCAACTTTCTTTTGAAACCCTAGATTTATACCTTGTAAGACAAGGTTCGAGCAAATAAGACTTTCTTCTCTACTCATATAAACTTCTGGTTGCTTACAAGGAAGACTTTTTAATTGTTGTAGTTGATGAAGTGGATTAATCCGTTTTGTAATAATAGGTAAACACAGCTTCTAAAGTTTTTAATTTTATTTTTGTTATTACACTTTTAACATTAAAAAAGTTCAAGCTACTTAACATTTTGGTTGATTTAAGTTCTTAGCTTTGAATGGTATAATATCTGGACTATTATGGAATTTGCTAGAAAACTAAGTTACAAATTATAAAACAGATCTGTATAAGCAAATTATAAGCAATTTGAAAATTAATTTACTTATTCAAATTTCGTTTTGAAATCCGACTTAACTTGAGTTCAAATTGTACGTACATAATTGATGCAGAGTAGTAACATAGTACTGTATAAGCAAATTATATTGAATGACCAAAATCAAACTAGCGATACTTCACTTGAATAAAATACATACACATAGTACCCATGGGCCAACTCAAAACCCGGCAGGTCTACCCGCAAGCTTTACAAGCACCAACATTTTCGGGCTTTTCCGCGGTCGGTTTTTTTTTGGGGTCGGACTAGGCTGGAACCTTTAGACTCTATTACCATCTGTGGCTGCGACCTCTTCCAGACACCATTACCATTTGTGGGACAGAATGTGACTTTTGGGCATTGATATTTCTCCAACAGTATCATATTTGGAAACAGAGCTTGCAAATCTCTCCACTCAACCATGAATTCATGAAGATACTTCAAACGCAAGATCTGAACGCCGAAACTGTTTTCTTCTGTTGGAGGTTCGTCACTGATTCTGCTAAGGTTTCCTCCCTCGATGGAGAGCTTTTCAAGATTGTAAAGATTTTTGGGATTTAACCAACTTGGAGGGTATTTGCCAGGGTAAGCTTCTAGCTTCAACTTCTTCAAACTAGAAGGAAGCTTAGAGATATCATCTATTGCTGGATTTTCTAGCATTCTTATCCATCTCTTGTTTTGGTTCTCCTTCTCCTCGTTTGTTGTTTCTCCATACTCCTCTGCTTCTTTAGTTTCTTCTCCTCTTCGGTCATCCACAGGGAATCGCGCTCTCCATGCGATTGTCAGACTCTCAAGTCGCATGAGGTCTCTCAGTGACTCAATTAGATTTTCCGCCTTGAAACGGTTATTTTTTATGGTTATGCTTAGCTTCCTCAGCTTCACCAGGTGTTTAAATGCACAATTGTCTTCATCATCTGACTGACTAATCACAAATCCCTTAAGAACCTCTAATCTTGAGAGTCTTTCAAACCCATTAGGCATGCGATCTATAAGGCACTTTGATACATCCAAGTAAATCAGATTCTCAAGTGAGCCTATATCGTTAGGAAGAACCTGTAGATCGTAGCATGCTCTAAGATCCAAGATCACCAAGTTTTGGAGCGCACAAACAGAGTTTTCGATCTTTTCGATTCCTGAGATCCCTTTAAAACTTGCAAGCCACAGCTTCTTCAGTGATTTTATATTTTTAAGAAACTCTGTGTTCTTAACTTCAATGTGGCGCTCATCCGTCCGCTCCCATCTTCCTAAATAAAGCACTCTAAGTGAATCCATTAACGGAAACCACTTGAATGTGAAATCAGGGAACCGTTCAGAGGAATTGAACACCGTCTGCAAGGTTCCCGGTTTCATTGCAGATGTTTTTGCTTCTCGTAGCAACGAGGAATCTTTTACTAGGCAGACCTTTTTCTTCGATGATTTCTTCATGATAAGCTTCCCATTATGGCTAGCAAATAGATCCATTTCTTTGGCTAAGTATATAACTGCAGAATGCACATGAGGCTCCATCTTATAACTATTTGGTAGCAGTTTCCTCTCATCTTCCACAGGCTCAAGTAATTTTTTTGCTGAAAATGCATCAAGAATTCTCTTTACTGAGTTTTCAAAATCATCACAACTGATGAAACCTTCTCCGATCCACCAATACATCAACATTGTCCTTGTAACCTCTCTGTTTTCCGGGAACACGGCGAAGGACAACAAGCAGAGCTTCTGAGTGAAGTCATCAAGGCCTTGAAATTTCTCAACAACTTCTTCAAAAGCTGAGGATTTTTCGAATTCCTCAGCAACGTGGAGGCCTGCAGGCAAGCATATAATCCCGGTCTCACTGATCTCAACAATATCCTCATCGGCTAGAGATTCCGTGATGCTCAACAGTACCCTGGATGACTGTTTGTAGAGCGATGACGGGATCTGGCACTTCAAGGCGAAGATCTTTCTTCTGATTTCTTTGAGATCCTGAGTGCGGGACTTGATTGAACCCGTCTTCTGTAGTATTGCTCCAACCATACTTGAACGAAGATCATGCTCCAACAACTTGCTCATATTGTTTTGAAACTGAGTCAAATTCTTAAAGGCAGATATCATCTGACCAACGTCACTCTGCAATTTCCGGATCTCGAGGTCTGCATGCATCTTCATCTTCGTCAGTGTATCGCATGATTCTTCTGCTTCCGCCTTGACTGTCTTCACTGTCGCTTGCATGGTTTGTAGCCTCGTTCTTCACCTTACAAATTTTTTAAAGTTTTTCTCTGAACCGAACCCACCAAGATGGTCTCTTCTTCTCCTCATTTCGTCTTTCACACAACTTGGTGTGTCTCTTCTCCTCACTTCGTCTTTCGCTCGGCTGTTCATTAGCTTTTTTGGATAGAGGTATTTGACTTAGCTGAGTCTGTAACTCAGATAGGTAGCTGATAATCTTGTCGATATTATATTCTTGTTGCGTCATGATCAGAATGGTAACAAGTACCTGCAATTCCCTACAAAGGATGAAGATTTAATCTGTGTGATTCAACTGCATATAATGCGTAGAGCTCTTCTAAAGAAAAAACCAGAGAAACAACTTGCAGACCTAGCTAACAAGATAATTTGTTAGACATGGGACTAGTTGATGAAGAACCAAGTCAAGGTCAGAATATGGTGAAATATTAACCCGATGAAGCGAAGCCAAAACGAATACTTTTCCATGTAGTAACCATTGTTAAAAGACTAGAAACAAGATTTATGATCCTAAGTTATGTTCTACATTTTGGATTATGCAAAACTCCAATGAGTGTAATATGTCTCCAACAGTCGATTATAATTTATATGCAACCCAAATAACAAAAAAGCTTTATTGAAAAGAATAGGCAAAACATTGTTTGTACCTTATAATGTCTTTTTACCGAAAAGATGTCATTCAGGTATTTTAACGAACACCTTGTGATAGGGGTGAGACCAATTATCCGGGATCCGGGATCCGATCCGGGATCCGCTCCGATCCGCTCCGAAAAATAGGATATCCGGGTGGGGCGGATCCGGATCCGGATAATGAAAAAGCGGATCCGGCCGGATCCGGATCCGGATCCGGATAATAGAAAATTTAAAGCCGGATATCCGGATCCGGGATATTTTATATAATAATAATATTTTTTTAATATTTTATTACTATTATTTAAATTTTATTAATAAATTCTATTATTTTATATAAGAATAATATTTTTTAATAATATTTTTAATTATTTATATTAAATTATTTGTTTTTAAATATTTTTTTTGAAATTTTATATTAATAAAAAATATATATATATAAAAAACCCGGATCCGGATATCCGGCGGATATCCGGCTCTTTTTACGGATATCCGAAATCCGGATATCCGGGTGAAACGGATCCGGATCCGGATAATGAAAAGGCGGATCCGGCCGGATCCGGATACCCTAAAAAAGCCGGATATCCGGATCCGGCCCAGCCCTACCTTGTGAGCGGTCCTTTTATTTTATTTTCCTGAATAAGAAACTCAAACTCAAAAAGTCATTCCTTTTTTTGTAACATGAAAACAATTTAACATGGAAACAACTTCTCATAGACATCGAACAGAGACAGAGGAAAAGCATCAAGATACTGTTCCTTACTTCCTCATCAGGCGAAGAGAAAAAAATCTCTGTGGAAAAAAAAGAAGAAGCAAAGTATCGCTATTGATCATGTAAAACACATGACCCTTTAGCTTTCACGGATTCATGGTTACACCAAAACTTAATCCATCATATCGACTTCTAACCAATTTCTCCTAATTTTTTTAGCTGCTAACGGGTTTAGTCCGCTTTGCCCACAACATCTATTCAAAGCCATTATTTTTTTCGATCTGTATTACTATGGATTATAGTTTATGGATAGTAAATAAAAAGCGGTCCGAACCACAAACACATTTGTCCGCCTTAACCGCCGTAACCATTCCTGAAATTACTATATGTGTGCTAGATCTATACGTTTGTATGATGAGAGAGTGTAACGAGTTCGTATGTGCATAAAGTAAATGAGACACAAGAGATTTGTTAACGGGGTTCGGTTAACCTACATCCCCGGGACCAAGTCCAGAAACCATTCACTAGAAAAGGCTGCAACCTACAATTGCTATATGGTATCCACCACTCTTTTCTAGAATTACAATGAAAGAAAACTACTACTCCTATTGTCTTTTCCGACGAGTATAGCTTCTCAACAAAACCATCAAAAGATCTCTCTATCTTGTTGATGGGGCGACGTCACACACATGTGTGCCTCTCTCGATAAACCCTAGACGCGCAAGTCTTCATGTTGCCGTCTCTTGGTATTTATATCAAGTGCCAAAAACCCTAGACGACTTAAGCCACACTTCAAGTCTCTACAAGCAATTGGGCTTAACTTGAACAATGGCCCACGACCCACGTGGCCTTCTTTGCTTTCACGCTAGAAAGACTCAATCTCGATCTTGTTCCAACAGCTTCAATAGTTTTATACCATAACGTGTGCCTTATCTTTGCTGACAATCCTCTCTTACACAGAAGACTCGATAAACGCTAAGAGAGTGGGCTTTTTATGGGCCTTATCAGAGACTCTGTTTTCAATCTACTTCTTCTCTTGAAGGCACGATGACCTATGGACAGGCCTGTGTCACTGAAATTATAGTCCTCTTAAAGTAGGCTTCTCTTGGGTCTGATTTGATTAAATTGGAAACTGGGCCGAGATTCTCTAACCAAACTCAAAACTTTTCTCTCCTCGTCAATGCTTCCGCAACACGATTCCGATCAACAACCACCGAGTCCTCTAAATCTCTGAAATTTCCGGCGGTTACTTTGTCACCAAACTTGGACTCTCAAATCCATCATACCTAAGAACCTGAGATAAACCCAAATCATACACGCTTGAAGCTTGCCGTAACGTTCCCAAATTGATTCTCTTCTTATACGTTCATGAACATGTTTCTTCTTTCTCTCTGCTAGCCACACATCCAGGACCATACCCGAAACGAGAACGGATCTCTGTCGAGAACCCGCTCTGATACCAAATGAAATTACTATATGTGTGCTAGATCTATACGTTTGTATGATGAGAGAGTGTAACGAGTTCGTATGTGCATAAAGTAAATGAGACACAAGAGATTTGTTAACGGGGTTCGGTTAACCTACATCCCCGGGACCAAGTCCAGAAACCATTCACTAGAAAAGGCTGCAACCTACAATTGCTATATGGTATCCACCACTCTTTTCTAGAATTACAATGAAAGAAAACTACTACTCCTATTGTCTTTTCCGACGAGTATAGCTTCTCAACAAAACCATCAAAAGATCTCTCTATCTTGTTGATGGGGCGACGTCACACACATGTGTGCCTCTCTCGATAAACCCTAGACGCGCAAGTCTTCATGTTGCCGTCTCTTGGTATTTATATCAAGTGCCAAAAACCCTAGACGACTTAAGCCACACTTCAAGTCTCTACAAGCAATTGGGCTTAACTTGAACAATGGCCCACGACCCACGTGGCCTTCTTTGCTTTCACGCTAGAAAGACTCAATCTCGATCTTGTTCCAACAGCTTCAATAGTGTTCCGACAATATCTGCACTTTCAATTCCAACCCAATGTATTTTCTTCAATCACTTACATATCTAACAAACTTTGTAAATTGTGAACAAATCTTGAGTAGTCGGTCTTCAAGCGGATTATTTTGTTTGGGCATGTTTATTTAAAGATTTTGTTTCTACTATAGATCAATGCAAATTCTGCTTGATTTCGTTGATGGGTCGACAATCTTTGTCCTTAATCAATATTTAAATCAAATGAAATGTGATGAACATTGTTTGAAATTGGAAATTCACAGCCAAAAAATATTACAAATCTCACACACACACAAATTATATAAATAAAATAAAAAGATATTTTTTTTTTTTGGGTTATATATAACTATCACTCTCCTACAACGAGTTTAGCTCTAACATCTCCTTTATTGATCTGAAACTGATCTCCTAATCCGAAGTGAGCCATCAACAACCAAACAAAGTTAAGTAGCTCACCGCCTCTGCTAAGTTGCGCCACATGCTCTGTCGCTTTACAATGACTTGCTGCGTAACATAGCAACTCAACCCACACTTTGCTCAACACTCTCCATTTCCCATCTTCATTACTACTCTCTTTCAATTTCTGAAGCTCTTTCGCCAATATACTCGCATCAAAAAGAAACGACTTGCTTCGATCAAGTCTCGGCTCAATATCGTTACTAACCAATAAAACCGTCTCACTCGCTCGTTTCATATCTCTCAAGTCCTTGATTTGCCGTCCTTTGAAAAACCTCTCAGCTTCAGCTTTAGTTTCTCTGAACCATATAGTCCTGATTCCCGCAACTTCCGATATCAATTTCGGTCGCATTATCAACAAATACATCATGTAATCAGATATAATCTTGCTGAATTCTCGGTCATCATAACTTTCTTTGCTCAGATTCTCCATCTTCCCACCATCTTCTATTTGAAAACAGAGCTCGGTAGCGATATGCCAAAGGAGGAGACTTTGATCATAATCAACTTTCTCTATATAACACATCAATCTATCAACTTCCGCCAATCTTGAAACTCGTAAAGCCCATTCTCCTCTCGCCCAAGACACTTTCTTTGCAACTTCAGGTGTTTCCGCAAAGCCGGACTTATCCTTCAGCTCATTGAATATAAATTCCCATTGATTCTTCGTCAACGGCTCTCTCGAAATGAACCTAATCTCGTCTAGATAAGATTTAACACTGAAGATTCGATCAATGTATTTCCAAAGGACTCTAAAAACTTCAGGAATACCGGCAAAGAATACGAGGTATATCGGGTAAACCGTGTAACGAACCATCGAATTCTGTTTAGACCATTGCCGGAGCACGCTTCTTATTGATCTATTAACATTCTTGATCGATCCAAACAACATTTTGATTCTTCTGATCACCAGATCGAATAGCGAAACCACGGATTCCCACACTAAAACATTGCAGTTTCTCTTCTTATGGATTCTTGAAACTTTGGCTTTCAGACAAAATCCGATGAAATTAAATCCGTAGATCGTGCCTGACCATCTCCGTGACAAAAACCCCGTCGAGAGCACCTTGTGGGTCTGGTTTCCGTTGCATGTATGCTCCTTCCAACGCGGTTTCCTAAACGCGAGAAACCAATTGAGTAAAAAGTCGATAGAACTATTATTCTTTTCCTCTGGATCATCCTTAAGCTTTCTCAATACCGCGAATGTCCAATCCGAGAACAAGAAAATGACCATTGATGCAAGATCAAGTGCGATACCAACTATAAACAAAATGTAAGTGATCACAACATCTGCTCCATGAAAATCCTCAGACTTAAGTGGTCTACGATGGAAGACAAAGAAGGAAGAAAGAAGCGATCCAAAGGAAATTAACCGAAACAGAGTACCGATTCCCGTATGAAGAATTGCGGTTTTCGTATACATCGATTCGTAAAGAAAACCGAGCTCCATTTCGATAATCCGAAGAGCGTCTCCCGGTTTCAACTTATTGAAGAAATCTCTGCTTTCGTCTCGCTCACGGAAACTGAAAATAAGATCAACGACAAGACCTTTGAAAGTGTTGAAGAATTTGAAGCCGTATTGAACGATTTCGAGATGGGTTAATTTTCGGTCCGGTTTAACGAGTGTAGGGGGTCTCTCGTGCTTGTCGGGTTCGTCGGTTAAGAAGATTTTAGCTGGGAGATTTGACTTTTTTCTTGAAGCGTATTCTTCCATTAGCTTAGCGTAGTTAGGACCAGCGTCTGCTTGTTGAAGCATTCTGTCTTTGAATTTGTCCAAGCTCGCTGAGTACAATGCTCGTGTTCTCTCCACGTATTTAATCGTTCCGGTGATGAATAAAAGTGTGATTGGTGGCCATAGTGCGTTTTCTAGCGATTGCACCACCGCATAAACACCTGAAAACGACATAAACATCATAATTCATAATGTTATTAGAAAACCTTAATAATGAGATTATTTTAGTTCTAATTAATTTTTAAAACGGTAAAATATTGAGATTATTTGACGTAGATATTGATTTTCTTCTACATATAGATCCACCTGTTATTGATTTGTAACGATTTAGTAAATGACTATTTAATTAATCACAATAGAACTTCTATTATTTTCACTAGGACTCATCGCAGGGAAAAATATTTCAAAAATCGTTTTAAAAATAATATGAATCGAAAAATAAATTGTAACAATTTTGATTTTTTTTTTAAAATAATAAAGGAAACCCTCACAACATTTATTAAGTATATTAGTATTAGAACAACAAAAATTTGTAACTAAAAAAAACTATTCCCAAGTACAAAATGCATCAAATCAACCAAATGTTACAAAGCTTTGATAATAAACCAAAATGTTTATTGGTTCGTCAAATAAATAAAATGCTACTATGTTAAATTAATTGGTAGCAACAATCCATTTAAATATATTTTAGTAATTAAATATTTTTTAAAAAATATGATGACCTTTAACCGAAAGACGCAACCGTAGATATCAAATATACCAAAAGTTTCAACGGTTCATCAAAAATACCACATATTGAAATGGTTCATCAAATATACTAAAGATTACAATGATTCGTAAAACAAAACCAAAAGTTGCAATGATTCGTCAAATAAACCAAATGTTGCAACACTTCAATTAAACGGTTACAATCTCATTTAAATACTTTTTAGTAACTAAAATTAAAATATTAATTTATAAAAGTTATACCAAGAGACGCGACGGTAGATAATTAGATGTTATAGCGATTTACAAAATAAACCAAAAGATGCAATTGTTCGTGAAATAAACTAAATATATAAATCAAAGATTGCAATCGTTCGTGAAATAAACTAAATATATAAATCAAATATTGCAATTTTTTGTGATATAAACTAAATATATAAATTAAAGGTTGCAATTGTTCGTGAAATAAACTAAATATTGCAATAATTCGAATAAGAAGTTGCAACTGTTTATGAAGGGTTACAATAAAAAGACGCAACCGCATAAAACACTCAGATTACAATTTTCTATTAAATATAACCATAAAATATATATTTTAATTTAAAAAATTTTTAACGAAAAGTTACGATTAAAAGACACAACCATTCAGATGTGCAAAAAACATTTATTGAGATTGCTATTATATATAGATTCAAACAATGAAATGGGCGGAAAAATGTTTTTAGTCAAGTGGTTTAATATCGACTTCTGCAGTTTTTTCACCAACCCGCGTTGTAGGGTTTGGTTATCCATACACACAACCAATAAAAAGCCTATATTACATTTTACTATTTGTTACTTGATAAGTGATAAATAATGTTCAATCTTCATAAAAAAAAAATGTTCAATCTTCATGCAATGCACATATAATTTAGTTTCCAAGATATATGAATCGTGTTCACCCGTTTCTTACCTGCAAGCGCTTGAGAGACGAGGCCAAACAAATGACGTTGCCATAACGCATTATCCTCAAGAGCCAACGCGGTAATCGTGTCCGGACCACCAAGATGCAACAACAAGAATGGTGCCCATAGAGCAAGAAGCTTCTTGTTTTTTGGAGGATCGTCAGGTTCTGGTTCTTTCCCTTGGTTTTTAGTGATCTGAGACACCGCATAATTAGCGGTCCAATCCGCTAAAAGATATGCGGTCCATAGAAACGCAGCGAGCAACTTCTTTGATGTGCGTTTCCGCATTGGTGCAAGGAAGATAAGAGACGTTTGGAACAACAGAGATAATATCACAAGTCCTCTGATGTTCCATTTGTCTAATATCTTTTTTATTTTTGGTGGAATCACTTGCATTGTTATTACTCTTTTTGTCTGGAAAAACTAAGCTCGTTAAGTATCAAAATTTGCTGTATCATGCTTTCTTACTCAAGGTACGTATATATAAGGGATTAGATTATTTGTTAACTATTTGACCGGAAATTTATAAATGAAGCTATTTTAATAACACGTGAATTCTGTTCTTGCATTCCTTTCTTATATTCCACGGTAACTCTTTTGCCAAGGGCTTTTTTCTGTGTCAGAATAAAATATTCTTTCCTTGTTGATTAATAAAATCAAGAAAATCATACTTTACTCTTTCACACACGTTACTTAAAATCAGTGGCGGAGGTAGCACTATACCATGGGGGTCAATTGACACCCATGGATTTTTAAAACTTAGTTTAGTTTGATTAATCATTTATAAATTGACCCCATTACAAAATAAAATTTGACCCCCATCAAATTTTAATTTAAAAGAAAAGCACTAAATATTATATATCAAAAAGAATTAATACAAATAAACTCATTACAAATAATCAAAAATAAAACTATATATCCATTAAAATGAGTTCAACCTAATTATCTCTATTCTTTTGCTACTTTATGATTTTCTTTTTCTTTTTTTCTTCTATTTGAATTAACATTATCCATTGAAAATCATATTGAAATAAAATTTTAAGTTTTTTTTTGGGTTTTGTGCAAAAAAACCCTCCAACTCGCCAATTTTTGCAACTTTACCCTCCATCTCCGAAAAATGCAGATTAATACTACGAAGTCCCAAATAATGTGCAATATAACCCTTATTCGTATATTGTAAACGTTTTTTCGGTCACATACATTGGTTTTTTAAAATTCTAAAAGTAGAGTTGAACTCTTCATCGCGAGGGCTTCGATTTGATATATTATTTGTCAAAATTTTACGAACTTGACAGTAACGAATAAGGGTTATATTGCACATTATTTGGGACTTCGTAGTATTAATCTGCATTTTTCGGAGATGGAGGGTAAAGTTGCAAAAATGGGCGAGTTGGAGGGTTTTTTTGCACAAAACCCTTTTTTTTTTGTCAAAAAATTTTAAGTTAAAATTTGTATACTTTAGCTTGAGGTAAAATATTTTGATGATTTTGCTCATAAAAATATTTATGTAACAAAGGAAATAATAATAAAACACTTACAAAATATGAACAATTCTATGATAAAATTCTTAAACGTATATATTGACGCTACTTTATTTTTTCTAATGAACTTATGTATTTTTTATATAAAAAAATTTGACCCCTATAAACAATTTTTCTGGCTCCGCCACTGCTTAAAATAGTACAAGGATTTTCTGTTTTTGGCTTGATTTTGTGTAACTGACAAAAACCTCAACTTTTGAAGTGAAAAATATATAGAAACAAGAGATATTCGTGAGTCTATATATATTAGTGAAGAATTTTAAACTTTTTGTTTTGAACAAATCCATGCAAATTATGCTTGATTTCGTGGATGGATCGACAATGTACATTGCTTGAAATTATGTATGTACATTGCTTGAAATTATACAATAAAAGTCACATATTTGAATCCGGTAATGTTTTCAAAAGGAGGTATTAAATGACTAACACTTTTAAATTTTAAAACAAGGTTTTATCCGAAAAACTATAAAAACTCATGTTTTTTTCTTCGAAAAAAATTTGGCAATTTTTAAAGAATTTTTCTCGTACAACAGATAGATTTATATTGTATTTTTTTGTTATAACAATTACGGATAACAATATCCCACATTGAAAAGAGACAGGAATCTTGACTAGTATATAAAATATATGGTCTCAGCCAATTAGTTTTGAATTGGAAACTTATATTCTAATAATAACTATCACTCTCCTCCAACGAGTATAGCTCTAGCTTCTCCTTTATCGATCTCAAACTGATCTGATAAACCAAAGTGAGCCATCAACAACCAAACAAAGCTAAGAAGCTCCCCACCTCTGCTAAGTTGCGCCACATGCTCCATAGCTTTACACTGACTTGCTGCGTAACATAGCAACTCAACCCACACTTTACTTAACACTCTCCATTTCCCATATCCGTTTCTACTATTATTATCTTCCAATCTCTGAAGCTCTTTTGCCAACATACTCGCATCAAAAAGCACTGACTTGCTTCGATTTCCCTTAACATGCATTGGCTCATAATCGTTACTAACCGATAGAATCGTCTTACTCGCTCGTTTCATATCTCTCAGGTTCTTGATATGCTTTCCTTTGAAAAACCTCTCAGCTTCAGCTAAAGTGTCTCTGAATCGTATAGTTCCAATTCCTGCCACTTGCGACATCAATTTTGGTCGCATTATCAACAAATACATCATGTAATCCGATGTAATCTTGCTAAATTCACGGTCATCGTAACTATTTCCGCTTAGATTCTCCATCTCCTCATTTTCTTCTTGTTGAAAACAGAGCTCAGTAGCAATATGCCAAAGGAGAAGACTTTGATCATAAGAAACATTCTCTACGTAACGCATCAATCTCTCACTTTCTGCCAGAATCATATCTCGTAAAACCCACTCTCCTCTCGCTGAAGACAATTTCTTTGTAAGGTCGGGTGTTTCCGCAAAGTAGGACTTATTCTTTAGCTCATTGAATATAAACTTCCATTGATTCTTCGTCAAAGGCTCATTCGATATGAACCTAGTCTTATCTAGATAAGATTTAACACTGAAGATTTGATCAATGTGACCCCAAAAGACTGCGAAAACTTGAGGAATACCTGCAAAGAACACGAGGTATAACGGGTAAACCGTATAACAAAACATCGGATTCTTCTTAGACCATTGCCTCATCACGCTTCTGAGTGATCTATTAACATTCTTGATCCATCCAAACATCATTTGGATTCTTCTTACTATCCAATCGAACATCGAACCCACAGACTCCCACACTAAAACATTGCAGTTTCTCTTCTTATGGATTCTTGAAACTTTGGCTTTCAAACAAAACCCGATGAAATTGAATCCGTAGATCGTGCCTGACCATCTCCGTGACAAAAACCCCGTCGAGAGCACCTCGTGGGTCTGGTTTCCATTGCATGTATGCTTCTTACAACGCAGTTTCCTAAACGCGAGAAACCAATTGAGTAAAGAGTCGATAAAACTATTATATTCCTCTGGATCATCCTTAAGCTTACTCAATACCGCATATGTCCAATCTGAGAACAAGAACATGACTATTGACACGAGATCAAGCGCGATACCAACGATGAACAATGTGTAAGTAATCACAATGTCTGCTCCATGAAATTCCTCAGACTTAAGCGGCCTACGATGGAAGACAAAGAAGGAAGAAATAAGTGATCCAAACGCAATTAACCGAAACAGAGTACCGGTTATCGTATGAAGAATCGCAGATTTGGTAAACATCAATTCGTATAGAAAATCAAGCTCGGATTCAATAATCCTTAGTGCTTCTCCCGGTTCCAACGCATTGAAGAAATCTCTGCTTTCGTCTCGCTCACTAGAACTGAAAACAAGATCAACAACAAGACCTTTGAAAGTGTTGAAGAATTTGTAGCCGTATTGAACGATTTCGAGATCGGTTAAAACTCCGTACGGTCTAACGAGTTTCGGGGGTCCCTTTTGCTTGTCGATTAAGATGATTGTAGTTGGGAGATTTGAATCTTTTCTCGAAGAGTATTCTTCCATAAGCTTAGAGTCTGGTGGTGGAAGCATGCTGTTTTTGAGTTTCTCTAAGCTCGCTGAGTACAATGCGAGTGACCTCTCCACGTATTTAATCGTTCCGGTGATGAATAACAGTGTGATTGGTGGCCATAATACGATTTCCATCGATTGCACCCAGTGGCGGATCTAGAAACAAAATTTATATGGGCACATATTATAATTAAAAATATTAAATTTATATAATAATAAAATATTAAATAAATATAATTCCTACCCTTATTATATTTAAATTTGAAATCTAAAAAGACACTCTTTTTAATCAAAATGCATCTAAATATACTTAGGACCTTAGGTACATATATTAGATATATTTAAATATATATATTTTTAATGTGTTAAATAGAAAAAGCACAGTTACAACTCATGATAGAAAATGTAATCTATCAATAATACTATACTTTACAGTAGAAATTGATGACTTAAAATTTGTTAAAAGTTAGAGTTGAATTAGAAAAGATAAATATAACTGAAATAACATGGTTTTATATAAGCAAAACAATAAAATAAATAAAGGAAATGCAGCTAAATATAAAGAAGAATTAAAACATGTAGGAAGTAGGAAGTCACCAAAAGAGGGGGACTTGGACACATAAAAGAAAAATGTATGTATTTTTGTCCAAAAAAAAAAAAAAAAGAAAAATGTACAAAAAAGGAATAAAAGCAAAAAGAATGGGTATGAGGAGGCATCGAACTTGACACACTAGACTTAATATTAGGCACTAAACTGAGCTAAGAAAACTCAACGAGTAATGCTAAATAATAAAAAAATTTATCAATCAGTATGGGGCACCTGCCCTACCTAGTCCCAACGTAGATCCGCCCCTGATTGCACCACCGCATAAACACCTGAAAACATATATATTATAAGAAGAAACATATATAATCAAACTACTGATCAATTTATAATGACATTATTAAAGAAGTTAAAACAACTACTGGGAAATTACAATATGAGTTCTCATAACTTTTTTATTTTATTTTTTTGTCAACCAAACAATAAATTAAGAAGTACTTTTTAATCATTAAAATGATCACGTAACGGTAAATCATGAGATATGCATACTTATATCATTATATGATTGGTATGTGGAAATCCAAATACAATATTTAGTACTTGATAACTAGCGTTTAATCTAAATTTCCAAAAAAATAAAAAATAACGTTTAATCTTCGTGCAATGCATATATGTTTTTTTGTGCGTGAAAAAGTGCAATGCACATATGTTTCGAATGGCTACTGCGAACGGATAGGATAGTATTAGAAAATAAAATAGTAATGCAAAACTGAGGTATCAGTATCGCAATCATTTGGAGCCATAGTGTATGTTTTCTTTTCATATATTCAAATTGCATCGACCGGCCCGTTACTTACATGCGAGCGCTTGAGAGACGAGGCTAAACAAATGACGTTTCCATAATGCATTATCCTCAAGAGCCAACGCGGTTATCGTGTCCGGCCCACCAAGATGCAGCATGCTGGTTCAATGTTTGGTTAATTTCGGTTAATCATTCTTAATTTGTGTATATATAAGCTTAAAGTACACTAGTTCTGGTTTAACGCTTGTAACAACATTTTTGAGATAAATAAAAAGTTTGTTATCTTCTTCTTCAAGCTCTTCATGAATTCTCCGATTCACCGGAGTTTGATATGGTATCAGAGCGTTCTATCAAGCTTCCGCATTCTCTTCTTTCGTATTGCCGGTGTTAATCGGAGCTGATCGGAACTCATCAGAGCTAAATCGGAGCTCGTTGAAGTTCTTTCTTTCTTCTTTCGATTCTTCTTTTGATTTCTCTTTATCTTCTTCGATTCGTTGGATTCTTCCATTCTGTTTCTTTCTTTTCTTTCGATTGACCTTTGTGTTGACGAATCTTTGTTCTTCTTCATCAAATTTGTCACACATTTCTTTGTAATTTCCTATATCTCACATTGAGAATGGGATCTTATGTACGACCATCTTTTCCGACGGATCTACCACCGCAACAACCTTCTAATGGTGAGCGATATCAAACGGATCAATATGCAAATCCATTTCATCTTCATCACAATGATCATGCTGGTTTGATCTTGGTTTCTGATAGATTGAGTACTGCCTCTGATTTTCCTGCTTGGAGACGTTCTATATGGATGGCTTTGAATGTCCGTAATAAGCTAGGGTTTATAGATGGTTCAATGGTTAAACCTCCTATAGATCACAGAGATTATGGTGCTTGGTCTAGATGTAATGATGTTGTAGCAACATGGTTAATAAACTCGGTTGATAAAAAGATTGGGCAAAGTTTGCTTTTCATATCAACAGCTGAAGGTATATGGAAGAATTTGTTGACTAGGTTCAAGCAGGATGATGCACCTAGAATATTTGATATAGAACAACGACTGAGTAAGCTAGAGCAAGGTTCAATGGATATTTCTGCATATTATACTGCATTGCTTACTTTGTGGGAAGAACACAAGAACTATGTTGAGTTACCAGTTTGTTCTTGTGGTAAATGTGAATGTGATGCTGCTGTCAAATGGGAAAAATTACAGCAGAGAAGTCGTGTGACTAAATTTCTTATGGGTTTAAATGAGGGATATGAACAAACAAGACGTCATATTCTCATGTTGAAGCCTATTCCTACTATAGAAGAAGCTTTTAACATTGTAACTCAGGATGAGAGGCAGAAAAGTATAAGACCAACGACTAGAGTTGATTCTGTTGCATTTCAAGCTACTGCTCCTATGATAGAGAATGCAGATTATGGATATATTGCAGCATATAATACAGGGAGGCCAATACAGAAACCTATTTGTACCAATTGTGGGAAGACGGGTCATACGGTTCAGAGGTGTTTTAAGATTCATGGATATCCTCCTGGCTATAAGACTAATGCGCCTTACAGAAACAATGGTCAACTACAAGTTCAGCCTAGGATGCAAACAAGTCAGTTTCAGCCAAGGATGCCACAACAACCTATGCAACCTATGATAGCTCAAATGCAGCTTACTTCTCCAATGCAGTTGGTTCCTTATGCCAATACAATTCAGAATGCAAATGCATATGCAAGTGCTCATGGTAATGCTAATCAGTCAATGTTTGGTTCTTATATGCCTCTGCAACCTCAGGTTACTACTGGTGGTAATAATGTGAATCTTCAAGATTTAACACCATAACAAATTCAGAGTTTAGTTTCTCAATTCAATGCTTCTGTTACTATTCAAGAGCCTGAAGTTCCATCACCTAGTGCGTCTGGTCCTGTTGCTAGTATTACTGAACATGGATTAATGGCTCAGACTTCTACTTCTGGTACTTTTCTTTTTCCTTCTACCAGTCTTAAATACGAAAATGAAAATCTCATACACTTTCATCTCTTCAAAAGTTTTTACCTCCTGATACTTGGATAATAGATAGTGGTGCTTCTAGTCACGTTTGTTCAGATTTAGCAATGTTTAGAGATTTAATACCTGTGTCTAGTGTCACTGTCACTCTTCCTAATGGTACTAGGGTTTCAATTACACACACAGGTACCATATGCATCACTTCATCTATCATACTTCATAATGTTTTACATGTGCCTGATTTCAAATTTAATTTGATAAGTGTGAGTTGTTTAGTTAGAACTTTATCTTGCTCTGCTCATTTCTTTCCAACTTGTTGTTTTATTCAGGAACTTTCTCAGGGCTTGATGATTGGGAGGGGTAAACTATATAACAACCTATACATACTTGAAACAGAGAACAAATCCCTCTCCTCATCAACACCTGCAGCTTGTTCCTTTTCTGGTTCTGTTATGGATGATGGTCTTCTTTGGCATCAAAGGCTTGGTCATCCGTCTTCAAATGCTTTACAGAAACTTGTTAGTGTCATTCCGTCTTTAAAATCTTTTCAGAGTCATGATTTTCATTGTTCAATATGTCCCTTAGCTAAACAAAAACGATTAGCATATATTTCTCATAATAATCTTGCAAAGAATCCTTTTGATCTTGTTCATCTTGATGTTTGGGGTCCTTTTAGTATAGAGTCTGTTGAAGGTTTTAGATATTTCTTAATTCTTGTTGATGATTGTACTAGAACTACTTGGATTTATATGATGAGAAATAAAGGAGAAGTTTCTACTGTTTTCCCTGTTTTCATTCAATTCATTGCAACTCAATATGCATCAAAAATAAAAGCTATTAGATCGGATAATGCACCAGAACTAGCCTTTACTGATATTGTTAAGAAATATGGTATGATGCACTACTTTTCTTGTGCATATACACCTCAACAGAACTCTGTTGTTGAGCGTAAGCATCAACACCTATTGAATGTTGCTAGATCACTTTTATTTCAGTCTAATGTTCCTTTACAGTATTGGAGTGATTGTATACTGACTGCAGCTCATTTGATAAATCGTTTACCATCCCCATTATTGCACAATAAATCTCCATATGAATTACTTTTAAAGAAAGCACCTGACTATACTTTGTTAAAGAGCTTTGGTAGTCTATGCTATGTTTCTACAAATATTCAAGAAAGAAACAAATTTTCTCCTAGAGCTAAACCATGTGTGTTCTAAGAATATCCATCTGGTTTTAAAGGCTATAAAGTTCTTGATCTTGAATCACATTCTGTTTCTATTTCTAGGAATGTAGTGTTTCATGAAACAAAATTTCCATTTAAAACTAGTGAAATGTTGTCTAAGTCTGTTGATATGTTTCCTAATTCAATTTTACCATTACCTGTTCCTCAGCATTTTGTTGATTCACCATCTCTTCTTGCTGATGACATTGCATCTGAAAATTCATCTGCATCATTATCACAACCTAGTACCATTCTTGATACACAAAATGCAGGGACACAGGATACGGGTATTGAATCTATTCCCATTGCTAGGCCTAAACGAAACACTAAAGCTCCGACTTACTTGTCTGAGTATCATTGCTCTCTGGTTCCATTTTCTTCTTCTTTACCACCTACAGTCGAAATTTCAAAACCACCTCCAAATATTCCTACTACTTCCTCTACTTCTTCTTTACCCCATACACATAAAACTCCATATCCCCTTTCTTCAGTCGTTTCTTACAATAAACTAAATACTCCTTTCCAAGATTATATCTTCTCTTATGGTACTGAAACTGAGCCAAAGACATTTCATCAAGCTATGAAATCAGAAAAATGGACTAATGCTGCTAAT